CTGAGCGGTAGACTCGACGGGTCGTCCTCTGAATCTGACTTCATCTCCTCCTCCTGCAATCCTCGGGTTGAGCAATACATGGTTCATCAGCCCCAACTGGATTTGCCTCCTTTTAGGGGAGCCCACAATAGTGGTTGTCCTTTTCGCTTCCCCTTAAAACCACCAAAAAAAAAGGTACCCTCAAAAACAACACACACCCGACTGGTTGGCGAAAAGCCCTTTTTGAGCCCAGCTCAGCCACCTTGGTTTGGATTGGTGGTGAGGTTTCAAAGGCCATGGCCTTCCCAAAGTGCAAGATCAGTTTGCCCGTGTTAAACCAGGGGACCACCGAAAACATTCGCGGTGTCCCATGCATTTACTGTACACCTATCTGCAAAGGGTACCCTCAAAAAGGACACATACACACAGATCATTGATTCACAATGGCATCTTCCGAATGGCAAGTTTTCAACTTGGCCAATATCTGTTGAGCAATCCTGTCAAGCCTAGGGTCCTTGTCAAAACCTCAGGGCTCGGCAGAACACAAGCATTTCGGCGCGGGGCGTGCAGGTCAAAATGGCGTCGTTGCGAAGGTGGACGAACGAAAACACCGCTGCCAAAACACAACCAAGACCACAACAAACCACAAATGACTTCCCAACCATTTGAGGACAACACACCGAACACACAAAGACTTATTGGGACCCTGCTCGTCCCCCTCCCGAAAGCTGTCTGGCTTGTCGGCTTTGAACACCTCTCACAAAGACACAACGACACAAACTAATACCCTCCCAAACAATAACATAGCACCTGCACAGGGGGTCCTGGAAGACCATTGTCTTTTTGAGGGGACCGTTTCATGTGCAGGTTCTACGTTAAGCCAAACAAGTTTGGCTTTCTACCCATCAGCCACGATGCGAAAGAACCCAGCACCCAAAACCCCCTCAAAGCCTCAAGCGGATGGCCAAGTTATGCATCGCTAAGGTTACGAGGGTGGTCCTTCGGGAACAGTTTGGCATACCTTCAAGATGAAGAAAGATGAAAACTTCACTTTTAGGTCAGCCGTCCATTTCTCCAATATGGTAGTCTGCAAAGGACTACCGCTGCTTCAAATGAAACATGGGCAGTTGCAAGGCCATTTTGCTGCCGCAAAGGGCACTCTTTACTCACCGTGAGCGCATGACGTGCGCAAACAACCAAGCAAGCAACCAACCAAACCATCTAATTAACCGAGCAACCAACAGCAAGCCAACCAACTGAGGACACACACGCACACATAAACCATCCAACCAATCAACCACCCACCCACCCGCCCGCCCGCCCACCCACCCAACCAACCAACCAACCAAAGTGATTGACCAGCCAGCCAGCCAGCCAGCCAACCAACCAAGCAACCAACCAACCAACCGTCCAACCGGCCAGCCAGGCAACCAACCAACCAATCGACCGAGCGACCAACCAAACAACTAGACAGCCCAACCATCCTTCCCACATCGTCCCACAATCCATCCATCCATCCATCCATCCATCCATCCATCCATCCATCCATCCATCCATCCATCCATCCATCCATCCATCCATCCATCCATCCATCCATCCATCCATCCATCCATCCATCCATCCATCCATCCATCCATCCATCCATCCATCCATCCATCCATCCATCCATCCATCCATCCATCCATCCATCCATATTTCCATCCTATATCCATCCTGTTGTATTCTATCCGTCACATCCCATCCCATCCATCCATGCAATAAACAACACGACCGGCCGACCCACCGAGCAACCGATCAACCGACCGACGCAACGCCCCCTCAACGTGAGTAGACGAGCTCTTCAAGACACACACACACACACCCAGAGACAACAACACCAACACACACACACACACACACACACACACACACACACACACACACACACACACACACACACACACACACACACACACACACACACACACACACACACACACACACACACACACACACACACAGACACACAGACACACAGACACACACACACACACGCACACGACTCGCACTCGCACACGCACACGCACACGCACACGCACACGCACACGCACACGCACACGCACACGCACACGCACACGCACACGCACACGCACACGCACACGCACACGCACACGCACACGCACACGCACACGCAGCACACGCGCACGCGCACGCGCACGCGCACGCGCACGCGCACGCGCACGCGCACGCGCACGCGCACGCGCACGCGCACGCGCACGCACGCACGCACGCACGCACTTACGCACGCACCCACACACACACACACCCATCTGAACACCTTACAGCAAATCCAAAACCTGAAGTAAGGGCTCCTCTGACGGACCTTCCTCGGCATCGATTGGATTTTGAACCCCCATCGTGGGTTTCCTCTCGTTCAAGAGTTCAAGACCCATTTGAGCTTGCCATACCTCGCCCAGATCGAGCCGGGGGGCGGATGATGTCGGCGTCCTCTGCCCGGCGCTTGGCTTCCAAGTACTCCGACCTGCGCTTATTTGGCAACGGGCTGTCCCGAAAGCAGTCTTCAGTAGGTGGGGCCACCCATAGGTTTAAACATGTTTAAACCACTGGTTATGATGATTCTAGGTACCCTCCCGATTCTTTCCAGGAATCCTTCTTTCTAGAAAAACTTTCGGAAACCCGGGGAAACAAACGGCCGGTTTTTGGAAAGAACGATGGTTGAAAATAATGGAATTGGAATCAACCGCTAGGATGATGCTTCCCTTGTAAAGGTGGCGTTTGAACCAGATTTTGCACCACCCAGGTCTTCACAGCCCCTCCTGTCAGCTTCCGCGATTGGAGGGAGCAGGTGAGTAGGGAAAAGGGAGGGAAGACCCTTCTACAGGGTTAACGATATGTCCAACCTAAAGCATCAGCCCAGATTTAAACCAGCCTCACCCCTATGTCCAACCTAAAGGGAGGGCAGGTGAGTAGCTAAAAAAGAGGGAATATCCGAAATTTAAGCTCCCGATATGTCCAACCTAAAGCATCACTCCAGATTGAATCTCTCTGGAACACTTGGCCCAGGTGATGTTTGAAATTATGAAACGGGGAAATACAAGCCCATAGCTTCCAAAGCACATTAAATAAATGTCCTTTGTCTTAAAGCACATTTATTGCACAAAGCCTATTTTTTGCATTATCCAGGGGTTAGCCCAATTTTGAGGTTTTTAGACCCCAAATGCCAGCAGCAGCACAAGAGAATGCGTTTGCTTTTCCTCACGCATGCTTTGCGTGTCGCTGCCGCACCGATCGATTCAGCCTCAAGAGCAGTCACACAAGAGGAAATTCACCCGTCACAAAGCAAATCATTGGACATAAACCGGGTTGGGGCACTGGTTGATCTTGGCCCTCATACTCATAAGCCGGAGCTTTGTTGCGTACATGATCCATCGCGATCGATGTAGTGCATGTGCCCGTCTGGCTACACCTTAGCTTTCTTGAAGCTAGTCTTTGGCCATTTTGTCAAGCCATTCAAATGCCATAATTCTTTGTTAACAATTTGGTTCAAGTGGCACTTGAGGTGTTTCATGCCGTCTTCGTCACCAAAGCAGTGAGCGAATCTGAAGTTGAGCTTCTTGTTCTTGGCATCTGCTGCTAGATGCAGAGCCATCTGTTCAGGGGGCTGGATTAGCAGGGGCTGTGTTGATTGCATGCACGTGTGCAATATGCCACGTGGGTGAGCTGATGATGCAAATCAGGCACGTGGATCTTTGGTCTCAAACGGAATAAATCTGATCGATTCCTGCGCGTAACATGAGCACCGTCGAACACCCGTCAAACTCCTTAAAATTGGTGCGTACGTAGAAAGCTAGGAACCGGCCTGATTGAAACTTTGGAAAGCGCCACGTAGGCAGAGCAGAAACGATGCCCCGCCCGGTACATTGATTGCGCATCCTCTTCACGCAACACCCTGCCGCATCGCTCAGAAATGCCAAAGAAAAGCGCCAACTGCGTCCTTAGCTTTTTAGCTAGGCAAGCTGAATGAATGACCGAGCGTAACCTGTATGTTGCAACAATGCAGTTAATCAATCGACGAGGGTCGCACAGCAAGCCATTAGCGGTAGTCGGTCGTCTTGAGCTCGGTAATGATCCGCTTGCGCAGCTTCGCTCAAACAAGCCGAAAGCCACTGCAATATGATCCGGCCGTTATACGCTTTTGCAGTCAGCATTGTGCTGCCATCCTTCTTGTAAACCTGGAGCGAGCCGACACTTGCATAATCAAAACAACATCGAATTCTAAACCCAGCTGAAGCCTAACTAGCTACAAAACCACTTCAAATGCAGAGGTCAGCACAAACATGCGCGCCATTTACCCCCCCCCGAATTTGGACAAGGCACAGAGTTCACGCGAAAATGCGGTTGAGAGGTTGCCAAACCATGCGCCTTGCAGAACGCCTTGAAGTGAAGGTAAGCCAAATCCAAGCCAGACTGTAGGTCCATCGCTGGGTCCGCCACCGGTCCAAAGAATTGGAGCTTGCATAGGCCGGACCTCAAAAAGCGTGCGCTAATGGACTATGATAGTGGTTCAAAAAATTGCGCGCTGTTGTTTGCAACGCGCTGCAAGACGCCGCAATGCGCAAAGCAACCGAGCGACAACGCTGCACCGTTCAGGTCATACATCAGCCCTAGATTTATGACGTGCATGCTGCAGATCTGAAGCTGGGCTGGATGAAAGCCATAAAGGAGCATCAGCGGACCTCTAATTGCGGCCACACTACATCAATTTTCATGGGCTGTTCACCCCAGCGTGTTGCCGGATGCTGCAAATTGCAAACCCGTGGTCATGAAAACATAATTCTTGCCAAGCGGCACGGATGTGGCTCTACCAGTTGGCGCGCCAGAAAACCGGCCACATCGTATTCTTCCCAAGCGGGGTGCTCGTCCAAACAATAAAACAATTCAGCTGGGTTTCGGCTTCTCCCTTTGGCACTGCACCTGAAACATACCTCCGCCACCCGCGTCCAGCTGGAGAAAAAACGCCAGATCTGCTTGTGCCATAGCCAGTCTCCTTTCAATTCGGTCACGACGAATTTTCGCCCTTGCGCCAAAACAAGTCCAGGTTGGTCGGGATCAGTGCCATGAAATAGCAGGTTGCAACTAAAAACGATGCGACGGAATACTGCGTTGAGCGTATGCGGGCCATACAGCTTATGTTCTTCAACCGCAAAGAGGCACCAGCGTGCACAACGTGATGAACAAGGTCTCCAAACTGCTGGCAAGGAAGCAAAAATCCCAACAATCTTGGTCCCATCGTCTAGGATTTTCGCCGCATCACCGTACAAGGCCATCGGAATATGATCTGGTGATGCAGGGCTGTTACACGCCCAGGGCTCCTTGATCACGTTCCTGTGGTGGTTCCAATACGCCCGTACTGTGGCAGGTGAAATATCAAGTCCAACACTTGTAAAAAGTTCATGAACTACGCGATGCGGGTCCATCAATGGCATCCGTCTCATTTCAAAGCCAGCGGGCGTTTTTGGCATTTTGATTGGAATCATGATAAAGGTGGGTTCCTAAGCTGACAAGGTCGACCCAACAAGTGTCAGTGTCCAAGGCGCGCTGTTTTTGTTTAAGCCTAGAATCCAGGTCAAGCTCACCAGCACCAGCCCTCATCAAATCGCGGGCAGCATTTCTGCCACATGACAATGTCCCCAGTCGCTTGCTCAAGGGATGGCAGCACCCTCGGCTGTCCTTGCGGTGAGATGGTTTAGTTTTGGAATTCCAAACTTAGCCGACCTTCCCTCTTAAGATTGCTAACCCCTTGTGATCACAGAGCCACATCTTTCGGCCAATGGCTGAAGCCTTGCACACTGGAGCGCTGCGGTCCTGCACGTGAGCTTGCGCTCGCCTGATGGCTGCACTAGCGCTGCAAGCCTTATTTCGGTCGGTGTGAATTAAACTCAGTGAGGACAAAATCTTAATCTTCATTGTTTTGAACAGTTGCATGCATGCATGTATACTCTTTCGAAGACTGCTAAAAAGCTGCCCTACTTGTGCAACTCGGTATTTGCCAAGCGACCCCAGACTGAACCTCATCCACAATGTTCTGAAAGAAGGGGCCGCCATAAGGGTCGTCATAGTGTTCTTCAGGTTCTGCGAAGGGCCGGTGCGTGACAAGCAAACCAACAAAAACGCATGTTTGCAGCAATGTGTGGCATGGCTTCGACCATCAACTGATGACTGTTGTGCAACTAGCCACTCGCGCTTTTTTACCCCTGACCAAATTTGTTTTGGATACCCATGCCTTGCCACACAGACTAAGTGGCAAAGCCGCTAATGAGCTTTCCAACTTCATCACAGTGCTGGCCACGCATCTATCCCTTGGATCCGCCGTGTGTTACAAGTAAAGTTGATGGCCTTGCTTGGCCTCATCAAAGAAGACCCTGCGTGTGCAACCCAACACTGCGGAAACACCCCACAAGATTTTGCGGGCAAGGTTATCGCATCAGTGCGCAGTGCCTGCAATGAACTTTACCCAAACCCCAAGCTTGCAAACCAGAAACAATCATTGTTGAATTTTTGAGGATGTGCAACCGAGCGATCAATGAGATTCTCCAAGCAAGCGCTGCAGACCGGCTAAGGACACTATGCGGCCCTGCCCTACCGCTATGCGTTGGTGGCGCCTCCCGGAAAGCAAATGTGGGAGGAAAAGCCACTCAGCACATGTCCATCATGAGAGTCTGACTGACTCCAGGAACTCTTTGTAGACGCCGAGGGCATCCAAACCCTTCTTGGTGGCACGCTTGCATGTGTCCTCCTACAGGGTCACTCACTCTAAAGCCAACGGATGATTCTTGTCAGATTCTTCAATGCAACAAGCATGTGAGAACCAAGCTCCTCGTAATTGTCACAAGCCTTTTGCAATGCGTCGCGGGCTCCCTGCAATTTGATGAGCTGCGATTCGAGATTCTTCTTGACTGCAGCTGCCAAATCGGCAGACCTTGTCACATCAACAAATAAACAGTTGCATTGTACAAGGCAACCCTTGCGAGAGAACCAACAAAGGCGATAGGTGGCAGGTTCTGCACAGTCTTTGAGGTAGTGGCAACTTGTTGCTCTTGGCACTCCGGTCGGCGATGTCCTGAATCTTGTTTGTGAGCTGGTTGATGACCTGAAGGGAGGGAGCCAGTTGGGGAGTTCTAAGAGGAATCAACAGCCATATGAGACCAAAAGCAAATAATAAGACTTAGAAACACCCCGCCTTTTTGGCATCTGCAACCTTTTCTTTAAGCTCCTTCTGCTCTTGTTTTTTCTTCTCTCGCTCAGCCTGCTTTTCCTGTTGCTTTTTTTCCCGCTCAGCTTCTTTAGCCAAACGCAGTTTTTTCTGCTCTTCTGTCTCTGCCTTCTTCCCCTTCCTCTTGCCTTTTTTGCCTTTGTCTTTGTCCTTGCTCTTCTTTCCCTTAGCTTTCTTCTCTTTCTCTTTGGTGTTGCCCCGCGCGTGTTTTTTCTTTGCTGTCTTTTCATCTGAGGAGGAGCTGGGCC